ACCACAAGCCTGCTTCCCTGTCATCAGCACACAGCCCCTCTCCCTCTCTGTGTCCAAAGTCCCCAGCTGCTCCATCTCTCCATGTCATCATCTCTGCCTCCATCTCATGTGTCACTGCTTCTCTGGGTAGGGTCTTGCTCTCCATTCTTCTCCCTCCAAGGGGCTTTTAGTGAAGGAATTTTCTGTTATATGAGTTAGAAGATTTTAGAAAAGTTGACACTTAAGTTAACCTGTTGAATAAGCTGCTAAGTACCTTTTTACCCAGAAGTTAAACAGTTCTTTGTTTATAAAGTTACATAGGATGACTAGAAGCATCTAAAAGGAATACAGCTCATGCCAGATAGAAATCAGTTAGCTTTTTACTTGAATAGTAGAATTGCCTATTAGCCATAGCTTAGAGACTTCCGTTGTTTCCTTTCTAACATATTACATAGTAACTACTAGAATTGCTAAACATGATAGACTTTGCTTTGAAGCATATTGGTAGTGTATGAAAGCAGAATATCTTAGATAATATGTGTGATCTTTCACTTAGGGATATGGATCAAACCTTGATATAATAGGATTGCAGAGAATAGTCCTTTTTCTGTAGAATTTATATGGAAGTCTTAATTTAAATTTACAGCCTCATCTAGTAGAAAATATTGGCAAATAGAAAAGTGAAATCAGGGATCTTACAGTATTAGCAATGCATTTGATGGAAGAGTAGAAGAATGATGATAAGACTTAAGGTAATTAAAGGTCAAATTTACCTTGATATTGGTATTTTTGCATTAAAAAAAAATCTGCAACATATTTCCTTAATGGAAGCACTTACTGTGTATTTGCCTATTAATTTTCCATTGCCTTGGTCATTTTTTCCTTGCATGTTGTCACCAGATTGTGACCATTAATTCATGCTTAAAATAATTTGAATTTAATATATTTGTTTGACTGAATCCCTACTTCTTTCTTTAAGAAGAGTAGGTAAATTATATAACAAAATAAAGCTAGCCCTTTATCTTAGTTGTTACATACCTAGATGTTAAGAAAGATGGTTTGTGCTTTCTATGTTTAATTACATTATATGTTATAGCCTATGATCATCAATAAGTATTTTGAGCAGCAATCCAAGAAAATTATTGTTCAGTGTCACTTAAGAAAATAATATACTTAATGAAGCAAAGGCTGTTGGAAATCGTAACCTTCTTTCAGATATCTGAATGAGCCATGTTGTTTGCCTTTACTGAACCATCTGTTAATATTAGTTTTTACTTTGCAAATGCATAAATGTCTACAGTTACACGCCAGAAAGGAGAGTGTAGAACAGACAGTAGAAGCGATCATCGCTCAGGAATTCCTTTAATATTGATGTAGAGTAAAGCTAGTTAACACACTTACATTTCTTCACCTTTCCACCCTGTCTAATAATTGGGTGGCTTGAACTTTGGTTGAAATTGCGTACATTTTGTCTGATTTTTTGTCCCACTTACTATCAAATAAGATGGATAACATACACATTTCTCACTGAAAGGCCTCTCTCCTTTCCTGCAGTTTCACCATTAGTGAGACTGACCTGTAATTTTCCTCTTTAAAGCCATTTTTAAGGCTTACTGTTTTTTCTGTTCTTTTATTTTTATCCCTTATTTAGACTTAAAGTATTTTCTCTTTTGTAAAGTTTTGAGTTTATACACAATCACATATATTTAGAAAATTGCTTATATTGTAAGTGGATATAGCTCAGAAAATATACCAAAATAAAAGGAAGCGTGTAGTTGGGATCCAAATCAAGAACTATAGAACATTATAAGCACTCTAGAAGTACCCCGTATCCCCTCTCAGTTACCTCCTTCCAAAGGTAACAGATCATATTTCCTAATTATTACTGTATGTTAATTTTGCTTGCCTTTGAACTGGATAAAAATAAAACCATACAGCATAGTTTTTAAAGTCTGGGTTCTTTCATTCCACTGCAAAAACAACATCTATGTTGGTTTTGCAGTAATAATTTTCATCATATGAATATGCCATAATTTACCCATTGTACTGTTGATGGATATTTGGGTTGTGTCTAACTTTTGACTGTTATACATAGTGCTGCTATGAGCATTCTTTTTAAAAATAAACTTTTTGTGAATTTACAGAGCAGATCATCAGTCTTACATTCAGCAAATCATATACTTTGCTTCACTATGATGATTGCAGTCGTCTGTATATACCAATGATTAATAGAATTTACCTCTATTCACTTTAACTATTGCACCCTTTCCTGTGTCTCCTGCTACTTTCATCTTTTCTCTGCTCACCTCCCTCTTGATGTATGCTGTCTGCCTTGTCACACATGTTAGCATGAGTGTACCCTCTAGCCTGTGAATAATTTTCCCTCTCCCATCCCCAAGTAACTAACCTTGATTGTTTCTTTTATTAAGAAAACCTTTCCTTAACTTTTCAGAACATTGGTCTCAACAATATTTGTCTTTTAGTGATTGAAGAATTTCACTAAGCATATGTCCTCCAGGTTCATCCATGTTATAAAGTGTTTTGCAGATTCATCATTATTCTTTAATGTTAAATAGTTTTGGGGTCCTGTTGTGGTGCTGTGGGTTAATGTACTGGAATACAAGGTTAGTTTGAACCGCAGGATCGGCAGTTCAGGCTCACTAGGCTCTCCTTGAAAACCCTATACAGGGGTCACTATGAGTCGGAACTGACTCGACAGCACTTAATAACAACAACAAGTATCCCACTGTGTGTACTGAAGTTTGTTTACTCGTTCATCTGTTAATGGGCATTTATGCTGCCTCTATCTTTTTGATGTGTCTCTTATAGACGGAATATTGAAGGATGCTGTTTTCTTCTCCATTCCACACTCTATTATCTCTTAGCTGAGATGCATTTAATCCATTAACATTCGTTGTAATTATTGATAGGTATGAATTGATTGCTCTCATTTTGCTGTGTGTTTGCTGCTGCTAGTTTCTTTGTTCCACACAATTTTATGAGCTGAGTTCATTTTGTTTGTGAATTTTCTTTTCATTTTCAATTCTGTTGGTTAATGTTTACTTTCTCTCTCTGATTTTCCTTCTTTCTTATTTTGATGTGCATTACTTAATGTGTATTAATTTTCAAGATAAATTATAGGTTACCCTGTAACTTTTTTAATTATTTCCTGTTAAAAAGTCTGTTTTATCTTGAAATCTACTTGACTTCCTCACCATTGAGAAGTTGTGTCTACACTATTCCTTCTTTTTGATTTGTAGTTGATTTCATTATAAATTGCTATCTCTGGTTCCCTATTTTCAGTTTTGTAGGTTGGTTGTACTTTAAATACTTCTATATCTGAATTGAGTCTGGGTGATATTTCCATGTGTGGTAATCTTAGGTTGTTTTTGCTGTTGTTGGTTCTCAGTCCAAAGAATACTTTTTAGCACTTATTTAATGTTTTATTGTGAATTATGTGATAGCTTACATGGGAGAACATTAGCTTTACATTCATCCTATCATATATCGTTTCATTGCCATGATTACAATGCCCTCCATGCATCACTAATCCTACCCCCACTTTTAGTTTTCTTGAACTGCTCTCAGGATTCTTTCCTTATCTTTGGTTTTGAAAAGTTTGATTATGATATGTCTTGCTGAATTTTTCTTGGGATCTATCCTGTTAAGGAGTCCTGGTGTGGCGCTGTGGGTTAACGTGCTATGGGTTAACTGCACGGTCAGCAATTCAAGCTTACCAACTGCTCCTCAGAAACCCTATACAGGGTTGCTATGGGCTGGAACTTACTCAACGGCAGTGAACAGAAACAACAAATCCTGTTTAAGGTTCATTCAACTTCTTATATGTTTGTCTTCTTTCATGATGTTAGAGAAATTTTCTTTCAACTTTTTTGACAATTTTCTGTACTTTTTATTGTCTCTTCCTTTTCTCAAATTCTGATGACACATATGTTGTTCCTCTTCATGGCTTCCCACATAACTCTTAAGCTTTCTTCAGATTTTTTTCACTCTTTTTTCTGATTATTCTTTTAGCATATGAGTATTAAGAGATTTATACTTAATACTCTTATTAAGAGTATTAAGTAGACTAATTCAAGTAGACTAATTCAACCTTCCATTGCTTCAGAGCTACTCCTTTGCCCTTTTGTTGTATTGTCCATTTCTGAAATCTTAGAATTAATCTTTTTATATCTAATTACAGGTTTGTGTTGTTTCAGAATTTTCATTTATAATACCTGTTTGTTCTTATCACAATTTCCTGAATTCTTCTAAAGTGTTTTCTGTTTTCTCATTGCTTTCCTTGATCATTCTGTCATCCCTTTGATGGTTCCAGATATCATTCTTTTGAATTCTTTTTCATTTAGTTTCATTACATTTTCTTCCTCAGAAACTTTTTCTGTCTCTGCATCTTGGTCATCTTGGTCATTTGAGCCATTTTCTTCTGTTTCTTCATGTGCGCTAAATTGTCTGTTGTCTCTGCTGCATTGCAGGGGTTGTCCTTTTTGCATTTAATAGATGATTGTATGTTGATTTGTTCATAAGCTCTCACCAACTGTTTCCTGTAGGTATAGTTAAGAGAATGGAAGTGTGTACAGTGTTCTCGTTAGCTGTTGGTGCACCTCAGTTTAGAGTAGGTTTGTCTGGTGTTGGCTGTTGTCTATCATTGATCAGATGGAGCCGGTATTGACTCTTGCCTAGTGGGCGGAGCTACAGAGAGGATGGTTATTGCTGGACTATATGGGGACAATTGCTGTCTCCTTTGAGGTAGAAAATAGAAGCCCCTCCTCCCTTGTCCCCTGTGACACACAAGAAAACAAAACAAAAAACAAAGAAGGAACCAAAAATGAAAAGAGAAAAAGAAATAAAAACAGCCAGCACCAGAACAAAAAGAGTATAATTATAAAGACAAAAGCAGGGCAGGAGAATAAAGCTATGGAAGAAAAAAAATAAGAGAGAAAATAAAAGAACTTAAAAAAAACCCAAACAGCTAAGAATAGTTAAAAAGAGAAAAAGTTGACGGCAAAATCCAGCTATAGAAGAGAAATTAAGAGAGGAAATAAAAGGAAGAAATTAAGCAATAACAAAAAACTTAGATAAATGAGGGATAGGGAAGATGATAAGAGAAAGAGTAGTAAAGAAAGATCAAAGAGGGAAAATGAAATACAGAAGAAAAGAAAGCAAAAAAGGAGTTAGAAAAGATAAAATTCAGGGAATGGAAAGAAGTAAAAGGAGCAGAAATAAACAAAAACAGTGAGACAAAATACAAACCCAATAATAAAAAAAAACAGTGCAGCTGTTTGGACTCAGGAGAAAATTCTGGGGGCTCCTGCAAGCCAAGGAGCTCATGAGATAGTTGTGGGAGGGATGTGACAGCAGAGTTCCTGGCCCTAGATGGAGTTCCTACTGGCCTCAGTATTATCTGTGTTCTGGGCACTCAATCCGGAAGTTGTTGTGGAGACCCTTGATGGAGGTGATTTCAGTATCTGTTAGGACTCTATGGTAGCAGGGGGCAGGGTGACTGGTCAAATGCTGGTGTGGTAGCTCTGCAGGTTCTGTAAGTCTGAAGCCAAGTCCCCAGAATCCAAACACCAAAGCGGCACACTAAAGCGACACAGCTGTCCCCCCTGCTTCACACTTGAGTGACTTCCAACCATGTGGTTCTGAACTCCCAAGAGAGCAGAACGAAACAATGTCCGATCCTGGGCCAACCTCACTACCACCGCCACACTTGACGCCATCAATGATGCCACCTGCCTGATCCATCTCGTTGGGGGTCTTCCTCTTTTTCTCTGACCCTCCACCTTACCCAGCATGACATCCTTCTCCAGCGACTGTTCTCTCCGGACAATGTGTCCAAAGTATGAGAGACGAAGTTTGGCCATCCTGGCCTCCAAGGAGCACTCTGGCTGCACTTCTTCCAAAACACATCTTTTGGTTCTTTTGGCAGTCCATGGCACCTTCAGTTTTCTCCTCCAACACCACAACTCAAAGGCATCAATTCTTCTATGATCTTCCTTATTCACTGTCCAGCTTTCACATCCATATGAGGTTATTGAAATTAGGGGATAAAATTAGGTTATTGCATTAGGGGATAAAAATGTAAAGAGGTTTGCTGCACACGCCCTCTTTAAAGTGTTCAAGAGCAAAGATGCCAGTTTGAGGACTAAAGTGCGCCTGACCTAGGCCATGGTATTTTCAGTAGCCTCATATGCATGTGAAAGTTGGATAATGAGTAAGGAAGACCATAGAAGAATTGATGCGTTTGAGTTATGATATTGAAGAAGAATATTAAAGATACCATGGTCTGCCAGAAGAACAAACAAATCTGTGTTGGAAGAAGTACAACCAGAATTCTCCTTAGAAGCCAAATTGACCAGACTTCGTTCCCCCATACTTTAGATGCAGTGTCAGGAAGGACCAGTCAGTCCCTAGATAAGAACATTATTCTTGATAAGTGGAGGGTCAGCAAAAAAGAGGGAGACCTCCAATGAGATGGATTGGCACAGTGGCAGCAGCAACAGGTTCAAGCCTAGCAGCAATTGTGAAGGTGGGACCAGGCAGTGTTTAGTTCTATTATACACAGGGTCACTATGATTCAGAGTGGAATCTACGGCACCTAACAGCAATGCTTTACTTAATTTTATTTTTTAGTAATTGTTCTAGGGTTAACTTACTGTACCTTTTCACATTTCATCCTTTACCAGGCAAAGTAGTTGTTTTTTTTAAATTAGTTTTTACCTATTACTACTTTCTGGTCACTCTCTTTGCCATTTTGAAAGATAAACAATTCCTTGCATGAGTTACCTACCATGAAATGAATAAGAATCAAGGTCTGAAAAAAACTATTTCAGTTAATGAAAAAAATCATCTGGGAGCTAAAGTAGGGGCATACTCTGCCTTCTTTTTGCCCTTTAGGAGTTAACATTTCTTAATAGGCAAGAAGTTTATGAACTCTTAATGGGTTATATTTATTGCCTTCCAGACTACTTTCCACAAAAACATTTTTTTCCCATAAGTTGTCCTTTCCATAACTAATCATTACTTGGAAAATATTCTGTTTCATTAGAATAGTCTCATAATAGCAGTAGATGTGCTAGCTAGTCACCCCACAAAGAAAATCCGGGTGTTGGGTTAGCCTTTAAATGATTGTGTTTTGTCTTCTAACCCATCCTTTTATACTCTGCTTTGTGAGTCTGAGGTTGGCAAACATTTTCTGTAAAAGACAAGTATAGTAAGTATTTTAGACTTTGTGAGCTATATATGGTCTCTGTCACATAGTCGTCTTTGCAGCCTATTTTGGTTTTTGTTTTTTCTCGATTCAGTACAGTCTTTTAAAAATGTAGAAACTATTCTTGCATCATAGACCAGACCATATGAAAACAGACTGCCCTATGAGTTTGGCCCACAGGTTGTAATTTGCCAACCTTCACTATATCTGTTGGTTCCCTTCTGCCAGTAGGGGCCATTATAGAAGACCAGAACAGTGAAAAGGGACTTGATCTTTCCCATTTCATTCCCCATTCCTCTTATCATCTGAACTGCATGCTTTTGTTACCCTGTCGGTTGCAGCTCGTTCCAATTTCCAGTTTTCTTTCACACTCTTAAACCAACCACATCATAATTCCTCAGACTATTAGAACTACTGGCCAGAATGTTTCCATTTTGCCTTTTCAGTCCTTTGATGAATACAATAGGGCTTCTAAAAGTTTATGAAAAATTCCATTATCTTTGAATTCCATTTTCCAAGAACTTTTTGACATTCCCTCTTACTTAACCAGTTCCTATATCAGATTCTATCTGTTAAAATATCTGGTGTAATTTTTTTCTGACTATACTCTGATATTAAAGCTGTGCATAGGTGATCATGTGGAAACTTAATTCCATAGTAGCATCATCTGAGACTTCACTAGGATTGTCTTGAGTTGAATAATTGGTTTGTTCCTATACAGTGTCTTCATTGTGTTAAGAGCAGTTGTTAAGCTTCTAGATTAGAAAACCTTGAGAGAACAATTGAAAGGTTTGTGTCTTTGAGATGTCATATCTGTACCTCATTCTCTCTCTTAGGTCCATTTTATTTTCTCTTAAAGGGTCATGGTTCCTTAAGTGTATTAGTACAGGAACTTCTTGAGGGTTATAGCCCTTAGATTACATTATAGTAATTCTCTTGTAGGTTTATTGTGTCTATGGATTTGTTTTTTAACTTTACTCTTTCCTTCTTAACTTGAAACTGTGATTATTGCTATTTTTCTTCCCAGTGGATACTTTCTGTTACTTAATAGAGGCATCATGGAAGAAAGTCCTGTCAATCTATTGAAAAATTAGCCACCGAAGACCCTATGGAGCACAGTTGTACTGTGAACATACCTGGACTCACCATGATTCAGATTGGAATTGTCAGCAACTAGTTTTTTGTTTCATCTAAAAATTTTTAATGTCATATTTTTAGCATGTTGTATTAGAAGCTTTAACCTGGAATCTTTGCTTTTCTGTTCTTGAGAGGATAAGTTAAGTAGTTGTAATTCAGAATATACCTTTTTGTTTCTTTTTCAGGACACAGCCAGTGTGAAATCCTCTAGTAGTCTAGAACCCAATCTTTTTTGTGATGAAGAGATTCCTATCAAGTCTGAGGAGGTGGTAACTCACATGTGGACAGCACCTTCATTCTGTGCTGAGCATGCTTATTCTTCAGCTTCTAAGAGTTGTTCACAAGGTATTGGTCTTCCAACAATACGGTGAAGAGCCTAAAATAAATGAGAAAAAACATTGTATTAATCAAAACTATGAATCTCTTCTGAATTTAATACAATTCCTGGTCAAGAAATACGAGTGGAATCTGAAAATTCTTTTGGGGTTAAGAAAAGTTAGCCCTTGTTTCTGTTTTCTGTCATTAGATGATAACATGAAAGCTTATGTAGAATTGTAGAATCTTAATTAGAAAAACATTAGAGACTCATCTCTACAAAATCCCTTTAGGTAGTTATTTAACCTCTATTTGATCATTTCCAGTTGCTGAGGACTTTCATGCTTTTCAAGAATATTTGTTTCTAGTTTTACATAGTTTTGTTAAGTTTCATCCTTGGTGGATGATTTCTCAATTATGTTTACTTTCTTTTTCCCCAGTGAAAACAAGTCACTGCTTTAGGTCACACCTGAAAGATGGAGTGTGTTTCTCTTTTAATTGCATTTTCTCATGAACATTTTGAAGGCTCTCGTATATTATTGCATGTTCATTACAAAGACAATCATTTATGTATGTGGTGTTTAATGTTATATAAGGATTAAGATATTTTATGGTGCATTGGTGGTGTAATGGTTAAAACACACTCTGGTAGCGTAGTGGTTACGAATCGGGCTGCGAACCTTAAGGTCAGCAGTTCGAAACTACCAGCCGCTCCGTGGGAGAAAGATGAGGCTTTCTACTCCCATAAAGATTTACACCCTTGGAAACCCTGTACAGGGTCGCTATGGGTCGGAACCGACTCGACGGCACTTCACAACAACAACAACAACATGGTGCATTGGTGGTGTAATGGTTAAAACACATGGCTACTAGCCAGAAGGTTAAGCAAGAACTTACCAGTTGTTCCATGGGAGAAAGATGAAAGACTACTTCGATAAAGATTTAGAGTGTTGGAAACCCTCTGGGGTAGTTGTTCTCTGTCTTGTAGACCTCCCTATGAGTTAAAGTTGACTTAGCAGTAGATTTGGTTTGGAATTATATATTTTAATATTCTTAATATTGTATGTTTACTATTTTTGGTGTACCCAGAAATGGAGAGAGCATGAGCTTTAAGAAATTTTTGTCCCACTCTTAATCTTCTGTAGCCATAGGATAAAGAATTGATAAAGAACTTTTTTTTCTTTTTGGTGGGGGGAAAGGTTCTAGCACCCCAAGGAAACAACCTCGAAAGAGCCCTTTGGTGCCCAGGAGTTTGGAACCTCCAGTGTTAGAGTTGTCACCTGGAGCAAAAGCCCAACTAGAAGAACTTATGATGGTTGGAGATCTCCTAGAAGTATCTCTAGATGAGACTCAGCACATATGGCGGATTTTGCAGGCCACACACCCACCTTCTGAAGACAGATTCCTGCATATCATGGAGGTATAGATTAAAACTTACTTGAACCGTGGTTTTAAAACTCTTGAAGTATGCTCAGCTTCCTTGGAGGTAGCACATGCTGGCAAGAGGATAGCTTGAATGGGCTGTGCTCTTGACTCTTCTACTCTCATTCACCCACTTAAGGCAAAGTTAGTTCTACTTTATGGTTTTCTTCTATTGATATTTTATGCAATATTTAATTTGATGAATAGGCCATATGCAAATACTTAATTTGCTAAAGTATTTTTTTAGCTATACTGTTTTATTTATGGAAGGCTCAAAAATAAGGGTAATATAGTGGTGGTTTGAACTGCCAACCTTGCAGTTTTAGCAGTCCAGTGCTTAACCCACAGTGCCACCAGAACTCTAGTAGTGGTGAGGACTGAAAAGTTATTACATACTTTAGTATATGATTAGTTTTATATGTATGTATTCATCTCAAACAGAGATGCTACAGACTAGATTAATATACAAGGATAAGTCAAAAAGTTTTGCTACTAGGTTCCAGTTCATACATGCATGGGTTTATTGCAAATAAAATGTATTTAAATGTGTTTCTGTTTCAGTGGATAGCTGCAGAGATGTTTTCTCAGTAATAAACTTGTCTTAGTCTCATTAGAGTCCCTTCAGAAAAAGAAATAGTGGAGTCTGAGGTGATCTGTTAGGTCAGTTAACTTCAAAGAATTGAGGTCAGCTCAGAACGTTATGGTGACTAGGTGTTGGGATTCCAAAGGGATAATCTTGACATTTTCTTGATGAACACGGGACTGTCACGGGGGTTATTAGGAAGAAGTTGTAAGAAAATCGAAAAGTGCACTAGTATGTAAAAGGCTAGGAAACTTGCGCTGAGCAATTTTTTTCCATCACAGCAAGACACCTGCTCATTCTTCTAGGATAGCAAGGCTATCCTAAGAGAAGTTTCTTAGGAAACCTTAGCATGTCTGCCCTGTAGATCTGATCTTGTGCTTCCATACTTGGTTTTCTCCTCCAAACTCGAATGTTGGAAAAAATATAATTTGGGTTCAGAGCTGCCATTTTGACATCATACACATCGAAGAGTGCAGAATTCATTAGGGAGGGGTTAGAGAGATAAAGGTTTAATAGACGTTTCTATGATTTTATAGCAATATTTTTAGACTTATGCTTGCATGCTAACATTGAATGTCTTTTACTCTTTTTTTCCCAAAAAGCTGGTAAAAATAAGAAACATTTTATTTAGGGCTTGGCATTATTTTCATTTGCCTTATGTCCACTAAATATTATATTTTCCTTCTTAAAATGTCATACATATCTGTCAAGTAATACTTTTTAAATGTCTTGCTTTAAATTGTTTCTAATTTTATATTTTTGAAGGATGACAGCATGGAAGAAAAACCATTAAAAATAAAAGGAAAGGACTCTTCAGAGAAGAAACGGAAACGTAAGCTAGAAAAGGTAGAGCAACTTTTCGGGGAAGGAAAACAGAAGTCCAAGGAGTTAAAGAAAATGGACAAACCTAAAAAGAAGAAACTAAAGTTAAGTGCTGAAAAATCAAAGGAGCTAAACAAACTGGCCAAGAAACTAGCAAAAGAAGAAGAGAGAAAGAAAAAGAAAGAGAAAGCTGCTGCAGCCAAAGTTGAACTTATGAAAGAGAATACTGAGAAAAAAAGAGAAAAGAAAGTACTGGACATCCCCTCAAAGTATGACTGGTCAGGTGCAGAGGAATCTGATGATGAGAATGCAGTATGCGCAGCACAGAACTGCCAGAGGCCCTGCAAGGACAAGGTGCGTCCCAGCTTTCTATAGTCAAGTGGGAGAGAAGGCACAGGTAGTAGTGATGGAATGATACATTTAATACAATGATAGTTTGCTTTAGATTCCTGGATTTATATTCCCAGCATAATCAGCTTTCTGCATTTTGTATAAACAGTATGTGAATAATGAGGCTCTTACATCAGTGGGCTAAAGAGAAATATTCTAAAAAAAATTTTTAGTCAGAAGTAGAGAGAAGCTGTATGATAACTCCTCCCAAGCAGTATATTTCATATGTAATGAAAATACTAAGTTGTAGAATACTCTGTGTTTTCCCTATAAAGTAAGTCAGAAAACTAAATACCTTGTCAGCCACAATAGCCTGAAAACAACCTTGGGCCAAGAGTCTAATAGCTGTGGCAAATAATTGCATTGAGTTGTTGAAAGACCTAAAACTAAAGGATTAATTCTCCCCTTTTGGTCCATATCATAGTCATACTGAGACCTGTGTAGTCTCTTAAGTGGAATGTGAATTTTTCAAACCGTTTGCTTTAAAGCAGAGGTGTGGAACGTCCGACCCATAGTCTGCGTAATCATTTGGTCTGGCCCTGCCAAGGCAGCCACAGTTCCAGCCATCACATTAGGGGGTGAGTTAATTAAATGTTTGACCAAATATAGCAGGCTAATTTTTAAGTTGATAATTTGTATGGCCCATGAATGATGTTATTTGGGCAGAAAAAAGTTCCCCATTCCTGCTTTAAAGCCTGTGAAGTAGGTCTTAAGTTTTAAGATTTCAAAAATTTTAGATAAAATGTAACTTCAGATGACTAACATTTTAAACAACAATCTACCATAAATTACTGTCTTTACCTAAGTGTCTACATTAACTTTTCAAACTCAGTGGAGGTCTTATTAACAGATGAACCTGACTTTTAAAGGTATCATATAAAAACTTTTCACCCTAAATGTTAGCTACAGTTCATTGTTTTCTTTTGTGAAGTGCTGTCGAGTTGGTTCCGACTCAGCAACTGTGTGTAGGGTTTCCAAGGAGCAGTTGGTGGTAGGTGTGAACAGCCAGCCTTATGGGATTGCAAATTAAGTGGTATCTATTCTGTAGGAAATATTAACTTTGTGAACTTTTGAGAATGATATATGGATTTTATGAAAAATACCATATTATTTCATAAGGGAAGACATCTTCACTTCCTGTGCCTCCACTTATTAAGGTTCCCATGAAGATTGTTAATAAAGTCATAGTTTAAATTATACTTAATATGCTCATTATATCACTTGATATGTAGATTTTTATATCTCCTCAATTAAAAAATATGAATGGATATCATAACCTCTCAATCAAGCACGTGTACATATTTAGAACTTGAGGGGATTAGTTTCATCATCTAAGCTCCTTATTTAAAATGGTGAAATTTGGGACTTTATGAAAGTAAAGTGATGTGACCAAAGCCCTAGAGGCTAATCAAAAATAGGCTAAATCAAAAATAGGACCCTGGTTCCCTAACTGCCAGACCAAATTCCCTCCACTAATATCCCTACCCCACCAACAATGAGATGTACAAAAACACATCCCAAAACAAAGTGACACTTAGTTATATTATACTCTGGTAGCGTAGTGGCTACGAATCGGGCTGCGAACCTTAAGGTCAGCGGTTCGAAACTACCAGCTGCTCCGCGGGAGAAAGATGAGGCTTTCTACTCCCGTAAAGATTTACACCCTCGGAAACCCTGTACAGGGTCGCTATGGGTCGGAACCGACTCGACGGCACTTAACAACAACAACAACAAGGGGTTTTCCACGGAAAATAAATATACAATAAAATGAATATTCCAGAATTTCACTTCCCAGGGATAAAAGTTACATACGCATAGCAATGTGTTCCTTTCTTTCTACGTAGTTTGTTTTATAGTTATCATTCTGTGTCTTCACTTTTTATTCATAAGTATTTTTCCATATTGTTATAAACACTATAAGCATTTTCGTAGATACATTACACATATGTGCATTTTATCTTTCATTTTGAATAGATTCCTATTTGAATTTGTTTATTAAAGAGGTTGATGAAAGGTTAACTCCCTCACTTTGGTACAGAAATGTTAGTAGTTCCAAATTGACAGAACTTTCTCCATTCTCTTTTAATTTGCTTTATAGCAATCTATCAGCAGGACAGAGTGATTTTTTTTCATAAGCTTTCCTAGCTTCTTTCCTGTTTATTTATATCCACTATGAATTATTTTCCTTTATTCTCTTTATTACTTCAGTCATCTCTCCCCTGTTCTGCATGTGGTTAAGTTCATATATTATTATCTTTATTGTCTCATAGTATATGTCACATATAAATTCTACAGGTAAGGCTTTTGTTTTGTTTTCCATCTGCTATAAAACTATCAACATTTGCCCTGTTTACATCATACGGTTATGAGGATAAAGTGAAATAATCTATAAAAAAAAATTTGTTAACCAAAAGTGCAGAATAAACATTGTTGTGCTGTCAAGTCAGCCCTGACTCAACGACCCTGTATAGGGTTTCTGAGGAGTGGCTGGTGAGTTTGAACTGCCAACCTTGCGATTTAAACCAACCTTGAGGTCGAGTGCTTATGCTATGGTGCCACACCAGGATTCCTAATTACATTAAAATGTAATTATTTTCAATTGTGACCTGTGATTGCTCCTAACATTATAGGTACTTAAAAAAAAGAATCTAGAAAGTGATAATTTGCATTTTGATGGAGCAAAAGGGGACTTAGCTGAGTATTCAGAGAAAATGTCTTTTTTAAAAACTTAAATATGAGGTGGTTTCAAAAAGTACATGAAAGAATACCGTTGTCTTTTCATTCAATTTTTCCATTAACTTTTTGAAGTTCCTTCATACATAAAGGTAAGCAATGTGTGCCTTAGCCTGCCATTAACCTCATGAAAAGAAATTTAGTGTTACTGTCCTAATCCAAAACCCAACCCATTAACATTGAGTAAATTGTATTTTGACTCATAGCGACCCTACAATACAAAGTATACCTTCCTATACTGTAATTTTTATGAAAGCAGACTATTGCATCTTTCTCCTGAGGAGTGGCTGGTGAGTTTGAACTGTTAACCTTTTGGTTTGTTGCCATCTGCTTCATTGTGCCACCTAGATGCCTTTATCGTCTATGATGTGTTTAATTTAAAATAAATTATTTCAGATTATAAATATTTTACCTGCTCGTAAATTTTAGTGAAAAATAAAATTTAGTTAATATTTAAATTATAAATATTTTAATCCTTTTTAAAGTCGCTTTCTTAGTTTTACTAGATAATAAGCATATTATTGTTGTTAAGTGTTCCCACTCATAGCGACCCTGTATGGGATTTCCAAGGAACAGCTGGTGGTTTTGAATCACCGACTTTGAGGTTAGCAATCCATTGCTTATCCTGCAGCGCCACACCAGGACTCCAATAATAGGCACATTTCTTTGAAAACTTTGTAAAAAATTTTGCAACTTTCTCAATTTGTAGTATTTTTCTTAAGAAAATCAAATTATTGCCTGTGCAGAACATGTCTTCAGAACAAATATAAAGACAGATTTTTTTTTTTTAAAGAACTGTCTGTATTTTTTAAAACATCATGCAGCAAATTAACCCTTGTGATTCCTTTTTTTATTTAGGTAAATGCACTTTTATTGTTTTTTAACCCAGTAGTAATTATGAATTTTCCAAAAAATGAGACAAATTTTAAAATTTAGAGGAAAGATTACTTGACTGTATTTAGCCTCGATTTTAAGGTGTTTTAAAAAGAGAAAAGAAAAATGTCGGAATAATATAAAGTATTTTTTACAGCTATTTATTTTCCATCTGTTATCAAATTAGTATCCAGCTAAAATTAATTTTAGAAATAATGAAAAACTATTTCTAAAAGATTAGTTAGAAAGTTCAGAATATTTTTCTCCCTGATTTCTGTCCCCTTCATTCAGTCTTACTGATACCAAGAGTAAAACAAGTGAACTTGAAAGAGCAAATTCTTTCAGGAGGAGCACTGTAGGATAAGGTTAACGCCTCAACCCCACCAGCCACTCCTTGGAAATCCTATGCAGGGTCATAATGAGTCAGAATTGACTTGGTGGCACCTAAGTACTGTATTTTATTCTTTTATTATTGTAAACATGTAGTTATTTTAGTGAGAAAATAGTTTCCTTCACTTTTTATCCCATTTATTGTGGACCTGTCCTTTTACTGTCTCATTTTTCTTTATTGATATAGCGCTGTAGAATAAGCACTGGACTGAAAAGTCCATTTAAACCGCAAGGTCAGTGGTTCAATCCACATAAACCCTATACAGGGTCACTGTGAGTTGGCACCAACTCAACGGCTCTTCAACAACAACTTCCAAACACATTTTGACGTTGGCAAATAAAGAGAGCTTCAGTTTATAAATTTACACCACTTAATTTTACTCAGCGTTAGCCACTATGGTTTAAAAAGATTTTTGTGGTGTTGGTCTTATCCAAAATATTTGCATATTGTTGTTGTTCCTGTTCAGTGGCTGGTGGGTTTGAACCTCCAACCTTGCAGTAAGCAGTTCAGTACTTACCCTACAGTGCCACACCAGGACTTCAAATATTTGCATATTGGTTAGTTTTTCAGTATGTATTTCTTTTTAGCATACGTAATCAAAGGTTGAATTACCTAAATGTGTAACACATACACACACCACACAAATTGTGATGTTGAGCTAGGGCAGGGGTGGTGAACATCCGGCCCCAGTATAAGGCCCACGTAATCATTTGGTCTGGCCCTGCCAAGGCAACTGCGGTTCCAGCCATCATTTTAGAGGTGAGTTAATTATACTGTTGTTGTTATGTGCTGTCGAGTTGGTTCTGACTCATAGTGACCCTATATAGGGTTTCTGGGTAGCATCTGGTGAGCTTGAAGCACCAATCTTGCAGTTCAAACCGACCTTGTGGTTTAAACTGACCTTGCAGTTCAACACATTAACCCACAGTGCCACACCAGTTAATTATAGGGGTGAGTCAATGAAATA